GCAAAACATGTGGAGTTGCAATCCCACTCATAAATTACAGGGTGTGGGGTGGAAGCTCCACTGAAGGCAGTGGGATGTTGAGTAGACATGCGTGCTGTTGGAGGAGTTCAAGGGTTTAGGGGGGGGCAGGAATAGCATGATTTATCTTTGTGTTAAAATAAAATATTTTCCTAATTAGCTATGGGAGCCTTTCAGAGCCGAACATGCTAGCATGCAAATGCCATAGCAATACAGTGGTACCTCGGGTTCAGTATTTAATTCGTTCCGGAGGTCCGTACTTAACCTGAAACTGTTCTTAACCTGAAGCACCACTTTAGCTAATGGGGCCCTGCTGCTGCCTCCACGCCGCAGGAGCACGATTTCTGTTCTCATCCTGAAGCAAAGTTCTTAACCTGGAGCACTATTTCTGGGTTAGCGGAGTCTGTAACCTGAGGCGTATGTAACCCGAGGTACCACTGTTAACCAGTTTCTCTACTTCCTGGTGCTCTCATTTGTTCATTCAGAAATGCGCAGTTTTGTTTTGCTCTCAAGCAGAGGAGCAGGGCGCCCTCTTGTGGGCAGGCCTGCACAGCCCATGTTGATGGATGGTGGCCTGACCTCCACAGGAATGTCCGTTGTGTTGCGTGGCTGTGCCACCTGTGCCTCTTCGATCTGTTATATCTTTAACAGTGGAAGCTGCTTGGTACAGGTCCAAATCAAAGGACAAAAATAGGAACGGAATCAAGTGGCTGGAGCAGTGAGCCTGCAAGGAAGCATGCAAACCCTGCTTTGCAGCAGAGTGCTTTTCAGCTCGCTTGATGGGTTGGAAGGGAGCTGATCTCTGCAGAAGCTGTGTTTTAATCTCATTTTTAATAGGCATTTTAAAAGCATAGGAAAGCATACCACAGTGGAGGGGGAGAACTCCATTACAAGGAGCAAGCTACATGCAGAGCGGTATTATGGTTACGTTACGAGAATGTAGGGACGCGGGTGGCGCTGTGGCCTAAACCACTGTGCCTTGGGCTTGCCGATCAGAAGGTCGGCGGTTTGAATCCCCGCGATGGGGTGAGCTCCCGTTGCTCAGTCTCAGCCCCTGCCAACCTAGCAGTTCGAAAGCACGTCAAAGATCAAGTAGATAAATAGGTACCACTCCGGCGGGAAGGTAAACAGCGTTTCCGTGTGTTGCTCCGGTTTGCCAGAAGCGGCTTAGTCATGCTGGCCACACGACCCGGAAAAAACTGTCTGCAGACAAACGTCAGCTCCCTCGGCCAGTAAAGCAAGATGAGCGCCGCAACCCCAGAGTCATTTGCGACTGGACTTAAACTGTCAGGGGTCCTTTACGAGAATGTAAAAGTTGTGTGTGTCAGCCTTTCGCAAAGTACTGGAAGCCTGGCTGTGTGTGATCCAGGCTAAGAGGTTCCCTTTACTCTTTTGTAAGTGGGAACTGTTTGTGATGCTTGCAAAATAACAACCTTTGAAGTAAGCCCCCGTGAACTCAGTGGGGAGACTGCCGTTCTTAGACTGCAGTCTTAGCATTATTTGCTGTTTCCTCTCTAAGAGGCATGCTGTTTGGCAAGGGCTTTCCTCCCCGTTGCAGCACTGGACTAGGAGGAGGGAACGCACATTAATCAGGCTCTCCTACCCCTTTCCCCCTGAACCTGGGAGGCTAGCAGTACCTCAAACTTCCCAAGGACGAAAAGGCTGCTAATTTCAAGCAAGCTGAGCCTATGTAGTCATACCTCGGGTTACAGACATTTCAGGTTGCACGTTTTCAGGTTACGGATGTGCCAAAACCTGGAAGTACCGGAACGGGTTACTTCCGTGTTTCGGCGCTCGTGCATGCGCAGAAGCACTAAATCGTGCTTTGCGCATGTGCAGAAGCGCCAAATCGCAACCGTGCGTGCGCAGACGCGGGGCTGCAGGTTGTGAACGCTGCGGGTTGTGAACGGGCCTCCCACACGGATCACGTTCGCAACCTGAGCGCCCACTGTAATAGGGCATCACTTTGATAAGAAAATAGGAAATTATTATTTTTAGACTTTTTGTTCATATTGTTGTATATTTATAAAATAGGACAGAAAGGTAAAAGTAAGTAAGGATGGATTAATGTCAACAGTCCATCGTCATTCATTTCCATTCCCAGCATTCTAATCTTAAGACAGGCAGGTCTATCAATCTTCTCCCTTCTCCACCAGCCTCCATGGAGACCTTGGGGTTCACAGGTGGATTTAGGGGAGTGTGACTGGTTCGGAGCCTCAGGGGCACCACAACTATGATGTAGAATGGGAGGCGAGAGGCTGCTGGTGCTGAACTTTGGTGTTGCACAGGATGCCGCTGAAATTTGAGACTCCAAGGTCACTGTATCTTTGCTAGGAACTCATACATGTCAACAAGGCCAAGCAAAGTTGGTTGCAATTCCAACACAGGCTCCGAGATAACATTGCCGTCTCTCAAAACATATCCTTGGGGAAAGAGCACAAGTTTACAACTGGTTACAAAACGGCTTTCCTCTGGCTTTCTTTGGAGGCTTCAGTCCTCTGTTAAATGCAAAATACGAGGTGACATCTGCTACACATCTCCTGTGCTCTGTCACTAATTGGCACATATCAATGTATACATATAGGCTCACTCGCTGGATCATCACCTTGTCGTGATGAGTGGGCTTGCATGTTCCTATGACCCTTGTGAGCGAAGCCGTCGGGAGTCTCTTACTCCCAGCAGGCTCACCCAAGGCAGTAAGGTCAAAGGAGAGGAGCTAGACAAAGAATGATCCAATAAGTCCTCAACGGACTTTCTTCAGTATCAACTTTGTTGGACTAGTCGTGTTGTTCGGATGCCCGATTATCGTCCTCCAAAGCAACTACTCTATTCCAAACTTAAAAATGGAAAGCGTAATGCTGGTGGTCAACAAAAGAGGTTCAAAGACTCTCTCAAGGCAAATTTTAAAAAATGTAGTAAAGACGCCAACAATTGGGAAACACTGGCCTGCAAGGGCTCCAATTGGAGAACAGCCTTTACCCAAAGTGTCATGGGCTTTGAAGACACTCGAACTCAGGATGAAAGGGAGAAACTTGCTAAGAGGAAGGCACGTTTGGCAAATCCACACTGTGATCAACTCCTAACCAGAAACCTATGTGCCCACTGTGGAAGGACGTGTGGATCCAGAATTGGCCTCCACAGTCACTTACGGACTCACTGTTAAGACCGTGTTCATGGAAGACCATCTTACTTGGCTATGAGTGATTGAAGAAGAAGAAGAAGAAGAAGAAGAAGAAGATGATACCTACAGGCTGATGCACTCAACTCACAAATACACATAGTCCACTCATACCCACTAGGCAGGCAGGTACATGTATGCTCAGAGGAAAGAGGTCAGAAAAGCACACACAGCAGATGATGTGAGTTCCTCCCCATTGTGATGATGATGATAATGTTCCTCTCTTCCTGGCCCAGCATTGTGGTCTTCTCTGCTGAGTGTGTCTGCTTTTATACCCCCCCCCCCCCGCTAAAAGTGTCTTCCTGTCCGTCCATCCATCCGTCTCTGTGTGTGATTTCTATGTGTCCTGTATGTATGTACTTGAGAATAGTGTGGCTTGGCCGCTCCACCATTTGAAGGGGAGGCTAACCCCCAGCTTTCAGAGAACAGGCAGGCCAAAAGCAAAAGCACAGTGTAACACTACACATAGCGGAAGAGATAAGACTGTCTTCTGTTCCCACACTCTCCCAGACAGGCATGTGAATTACACCAATCACATCTGCAGCATCAGAGGCATGAAATACTAACAAAAAGGTGCCTGTATTCACCAGAAAGTGCCACACTTTTTTTGCATTGAGTACCACTAGAAAAAAAGCACTGGGCATGAAGGCATGTAGAAACTACCTTATCCTACAGAGGGAAAAAATTATATTTCTTGCCAATTTTGTCTCTGGCCCTGTCCATTTCTGAAGATATGCCTGTGTTAGCAGAGACTCAGTTTGTTTGGGGCAAAAATGAGTGGTCTGTTTGATCGGACAGCGCCACCCTAGACGACGTCCCAGGATCCTCAATGTTCAGGTAATCTGCGGCAAACATGCAAGAGCTCCTCAGCGGAAAAGTTCAGATGGGAATAGTGGTTTCCTGAAGGAAGTTTGAACACCATGCGCTTGACACTGCAGACTTTTGAAAATAAAACTTTAAAAACTGCAGCGACTTTTTGCCCTGAGCAACAAGTGGAAAGAAGGGCAGAGAGGGTTCTCCCTCTATCTTTCACAGCTCTGGGGAAGAGGGACTTTCAGTAGGTGAGAACAGCTAAACATAAATGCCTTTTCCTGCACAATTATTTAATTATTTAGGGATGCAGGTAGCGCTGTGGGTTAAACCACTGAGCCTAGGACTTGCAGATCAGAAGGTCGGCAGTTCGAATCCCCACGACGGAGTGAACTCCTGTTGCTCGGTCCCTGCTCCTGCCCACCTAGCAGTTCGAAAGCACGCCCCAAAAGTGCAAGTAGATAAATAGGTACCGCTCCGGTGGGAAGGTAAATGGCGTTTCCATGTACCTCTCTGGTTCGCCAGAAGCAGCTTAGTCATGCTGGCCACATGACCCGGAAGCTGTATGCTGGCTCCCTCGGCCAACAAAGCGAGATGAGCGCCGCAACCCCAGAGTCGGCCACGACTGGACCTAATGGTCAGGGGTACCTTTACCTTTATTTAAGGATCAGGAAATCTGTCCTCTTTTGCTTCTGGCCAACACAGGGCAAGATTGTAGAGCTTCCAGCCTGCAAAACCACCCCCCACCCAAATCCCCCACGCCTGCTCATCAGCTGATGTCACTGTGTAGACTCAGCTGATCGGCAGGAGTGGAGCCTGGTTTCCTCCAACTTCTTGGATTATCCTCATACTGGGTAAGCCTAAATTTACAGGGGGAAAGCATTGAGAATGGTGTTGTCTGAGGGTAACGTAATGCAAATGAAATTAGAACACAAACGGCTGCAAACACATGGTAAACTGTGGACGATACCCAAGTGTCACTAGTAATATGTGATAACTTCCACTTTGACTTTTATTTCACACAAAGATCAAAAATATTTTTAATGCACTTCATTCTTATCCTCATATTTATTTGACTATTTTCAGTGTTACTTAAAATGACAAATTAATTGTACTTCTTTATTTGCTGTCCAGTAGTGTTGCTAACTGATCAAAACGTACTTGCTTTTGTGCCTTTAGCAGCAACTTGATTTGCAGAAATCAGAAGGCAAGGTTTTTTATAAGATGGATGTGCTCATTGCTACAGTTCAAACTCCTGTTAGGTTGGCAATGCTATTTGCAAGTGTGGCTCCTTCAGACTGCAATTCCATGTTCTACTTCAAATCAAAAATAATCTAAGTGAGTTGTTCTTGGCTCGGCAGCCAAGAACCTGAACTTGCCTTCTGAACAGAGACACACAAAACTTGCCTTCTGATTGGAGACACAGAACAGCTGGATTCAAGCTATATGAACCTTTAAAGAAAGCAGCATGCACAGTCTTAATGATTTGTGGTTACCCTTTCTATTGCAAGCGAGGAGACAATAGCCGGGTTGTATCCAACCAAGTTACACTCACTGAAATTAATGAACTTAAGTTAGTCGTGTTCAGAAATTCCCATGGGTTACTCTGGGTATGCCTAATGTTGGATACTGCCCTTTGTTTCCCAGGAGACAAAGCCAGGTAACAGAAGGAAAGAAAGTTTTCTATCTTATGTGTCCTTTCCTGGAAATAAGCTCCACTGAATATACTGGGACTTGCTTCTGAGCAGACATACGCAGGATGGCGCTGCAAGTGCAAATGGTGCAGATGTGAAACAATTAATGTAGCAGTTAATACAGGGATGGAATATGACTGAAATATGACTGAATGGTGGGTGCTGATATAACTCAAGCTACGGAACCAGCTGGCACCTGCCATGTAGCTATAGCAGGTGGTATTCAATGAACTAGTTCCATCAGCACAAGGACTTTGGGCTGTTTGACAGAACTTCTCCTCCCTCTCCTCATGCACCCCCTGAATCTGTTCAGGGGTCCCCCTCCCACCCTCCAGAGCAGATTTTGGGAGGGTGTAGGGCACACGCAGGGAAAGAATGGGAGAATCCCACTGTGCAAGCAGGAATTCTTGAGCTCGTGGAACAAGCGTATTGGATACTGCCCCAGGATTCTAACAAATCACCAGCAAATATCCATTAGGATTAAAAAAAAGGAGACACTTCTTTTGGCATGAAGTTTGTTCTCTGTTACTTTGGAACAGACAGATTTGCCTTCCTGAGAGATTCTCCTATACAAAGACATAGTCCTTTTAAAAAAAAATTTTAAAAATTCTTCCCATCCAGACTAGCTTTTTTCCTAAAGAATGTATTATTCAATGGAAATGCTTTGCAGTTTCACATGGGGAAATGACAACTGCATGTATCTGCCTCCTGTGGTTTCCGCGTAGCACACCTGCCTTGCAATACTGTCTGGGGATATGATCACCGCTAGATTATCAACAGTTAAATTGAAAAAACAACAACATTTCCCTCCCTAGCTACCCATGCTCTCCGCTTCTTACATACACGACTTGCTTTTCCACTCATCTCACTACCTAAGAAAGAAATTTGTGCAACTGGCTAAGGCACACCCAAGCGTAAGGTTGCATCATTCTTCAGGAGTTTCCCGATTTATTGCATTCAACTGTGTGAACCCCCGTACCCTGAGTTTAACCTGGACTGGTCTCTCCCCTATCAGTACAACAGACGTGAACCATATTGAGGCCAAGAAGCACCGTTTGCTTCTTCTATGTATTTATAGTATTCTTTCTATGCTTTTGATTCAGTGTCAGCACCAAATAAGACACACAGAATGATCCTGTGCTGATATATATTGCAGGGAAAGACAGCCTTCCCTGTTTTATGGCTGGTCACAGATGTAGGATTTATTGCTTTTTCTTTGCTTGTGAAGAGTTAATAGAAGCTGCTAACCAGGGCCTTCCAAATTTCAGGTACACATTACAGGGTGTATTCTCCACCCCTGCACATGAGGATTTAATCCATATAACGGAAAGCTTAGGCACACTGCTATATCAAAACTAACTTTTAAGAAGGGCAGAGTTTGCTAAGGGCAATTTCCTGGGTCTCTGCATTCATTCTGTTTTCCTCCAGTGGCAAAAAACATTCTGGATGTGCAACGTGCAAGAGATAAATACCACCTACCTGTCCATTAGTATTTTTTAAAATTGTCCTTTGATTGCATCACAAATGCTGAAACGGCTACATAAGTAGCACAGTTAATATACTTCTCATTTTGTCAATCAATACCAACATCAAAATGCATTATTGATATAAAATCAGCCAGCTCCTCATTAATGCTTCTAGACCCTTGCTTGGCTCACACAGTCATGTAGGGGGAAAACAAGTTTCCTTGATTGGTGCAAATCCTTCAGAGCTTTTTGGCTTTCCGTTTTGTTCAGCTCTGGGCTCTGGCTTGCAAAGGGCAACCAGCATCGTCTATGGCTTGTACTGGGTAGACTGGCAGGACCAGGTGGGATATGCGGCTCCACAACCCACTCAGTTTGTCCGTGTCCATGTGGTTGTAGGATGTGGGCATGTCCGAGTCCGTGAACTTGGCCCAGAGGAAGTCCCGTACATTTTCCTCCACAGTCTGTAGGCCAACATTAGGCTCCAGGTTCTCATCCTCCAGCAAGACTGTCAAAATCAGCGCCACGTCTCTGAAAGCTGCGCTCTCGTGGTCGCAGTACTTGTAAAAGATCAAGGTGGAAGCCGCAGGCAGAGACTCAAACTGATGCACCACAGCCGCCCTCCCCCTCTGTGGAAGCCAGAGGTGAGCTCCTCGTCGACAGCCAGCTTGGCCCTATCGCTGCTGAGAGTGGATTTCGAGGCTCCATCCACCTGGACCGTGCTGCCGCCGAGGGATGAGGAGTAGGCATCTGCAATCTGGGAGCTGAGGCACTTCAAGGTTGCTTTGCCTTCCTGCGCAGAGGCAAGGAGTAAGATAGCTGGCTCCGTGTGGCGGGAAGCATTGAGGTGTTTCTGTAGGACTTTCCGGACCCGGACCCACAGGTAAGGTCTCTGACCCGGGAAGCTGTCCTTCAGAGGATCAAATCTTGACAGGAAGACCTCCACAACTGGGTTTTTGGGCACATTCAGGGGGTGAGAAGTTAAGTAGCCAGAGACACCTATGCAAACAGCAGCGAAAGCCACCACAGCTCCCAGAACAAGCCCATGGGACGCAAAACCTGATGATCATGAAAGACAGAAAAACATGATTCAGAAAGGAGCCCAATATACCACAAAATGCCTTATCATCACTGATATTTGTAAGCCACTCAGAGAAGTCTCTCTCCCCACCCCCCGGCTGAAGAGCAGGATAAAAAATGCTATCAATCAAATTGTTGTCTGTTGCACTGTGAAAATCAATAAAAAGCTTTATTTTAAAATCAATAAAAGTCAATCAATCCACAATAGACTCAGGGTAACACATGGCAGACAGCATAGACTAGCTTCACCTTGTACTGAAAATATTTCATACTCCAAAGGCGGCTGCCACCTCCTGACACATGCACACCAGGCTCCGTTGGCAGCAAAGTTGCTGTCAAACATCAGCTCTGTTTCCCAGGGGCCAGTTTCCCAGGGGCCGCATGCAAGTGGTGGGGAGGGCCAGAGAGAAAACTGGGGAGCGGGGGCAGCAATAAAATGAGCAGGGCAATGTCTGTGCCTCTTATTTTTGTAGCCCAGGGGTCAGCAAACTTTTTCAGCAGGGGGCCGGTCCACTGACCCTCAGAGCTTGTGGGGGGCCGGGCTACTGGGGGGGGGGTGAACGAATTTCTATGCCCCACAAATAACCCAGAGCTGCATTTTAAGTAAAAGCACATTCTACTCATGTAAAAACACCAAGCAGGCCCCACAAATAACCCAGAGATGAATTTTAAATAAAATGACACATTCTACTCATGTAAGAGCTCGCGGACCATCCACAGGCTGGATTTAGAAGGCGATTGGGCCGGATCCGGCCCCCGGGCCTTAGTTTGCCTACCCATGTTCTAGCCGCATGAAAGCTCACCTGACCTCTGATGTTGCTGCTGCTTACCAGGAGGTAGAGGGAAGGAGAGAGGAGAGGTGTTGGTGAGGTGGGAATGTTGCAAGCGAAACAGCCAAGCCCATCCAGGGTTTCTGCGGCCGAGTTTGCACTTTGCCAGCCTCACCTCCATCCTCCTCTCTCTCCCTCCTGGTAAGTAGCAACGCAACTGACCAAAGGTCAGGTGAACATGGCAGACCCACCATGCCATCACTGCTGCCACCTGGGTAGAAGCATTGGGGAGGGTATAGGGCAGGGAATTATTATTATTATTATTATTATTATTATTATTATTATACCTGTAGGGATATCGCGGAGCGGGGTCCGGCCACAATCTGCCTGCACGCGTGACCCTGGGGTGCATGGAAAACTCCCCCTCAGACAAGCCACATCGTCCCCTATGTCTGACCTTTTGCGGTCTCAGAGTCAGCGGTGTCCTGTCTGTAAGTTTTTCCCTGAGACCTTTTGTCTCCTACGTCATACACTGTGCAAGGGGAAAATGACGCTGTGGAACAGGTGCCAAAATAGCTTTCCACCACTCCACGATTTCGGGACGGAAGATGTGTAAAGGTCCCAGCCCAAAAATGTATCTGCCTGGCTGGCATATTTGTCTCAATAAAAAGAGGCTCCACAGGAATGGTGGGAGCTTGCTCGCTTCAGACCACCTGTGCGCAGCTCACATCATGATCAACACCTGTCTTGGGCCTTCACTTCAATACCCCCCACCCATCTGGCTGGGTTTCCCCAGCCATTCTGGGCGGCTTCCAACAAAGGATTAAAAATACAGTGGTGCCTCGCAAGACGAAAAGAATCCGTTCCGCGATTCTCTTCGTCTAGCGGTTTTTTCGTCTTGCGAAGCAACCCCATTAGCGGCTAAGCGGATTAGCGCTATTAGCGGCTTAGCCGGCTTAGCGGCTAAGCTGTTAAAAGGCTATTAACGGCTTAGCGGCTTTGAATAAGGCGGGGGGAAGCGGGGGGGGGGGAAATGGCGAGACTCGCAAGACGTTTTCGTCTTGCGAAGCAAGCCCATAGGGAACTTCGTCTTGCGAAGCGCCTCCGCGATGGAAAACCCTTTCGTCTTGCGGGTTTTTCGTCTTGCGGGCACCACTGTACATTAAAACATCAGTCACTATAAACTTCCCCTAAACACGTGGCCTGGGGTCCCAAGGGCCAGAGAGAGAGAAGGGGTGGGTCACATTCGACCAGTGGGACAGAGATGTACCACCCCTTTCTTGCACAAGAAACCCTGGCTGAAAAGGAATAGACAGTTTCGGATACTAAGAACTGGAGTAACATTCCCAATACAAGCCCTTTTAATTTAATTTCCTTTTTTGTCATTTCTTAATTAAAATTCATTTGATCAGCTTTGTTGCTATGCAGAAGACAAAGGTTTTCTCACCATTACCTGGCTGCTCCATCGGTCGTTCTCTGGCGCTCTGCTGGCTTGCCTCTTCTGCGCAGGGATCAGCCTCTGCTTTGCGTCCCATGTGCCCTGAGAAGAACATCAGCGTTATCAGAAATAGCAGCGAGGAAGAAGTCCAGCCGGCCCAAAAGCAAGACCAGAAGAAAAAGAAATCATGTAGTGTACCAGCTAAAACGTGAGGGCGCCTGCCCCGAAAGCTCCCTTCTTGTAAATGTGGAGTTGAGTCAGCTCAAATTCTTGCTCTCTGGTATTTTGGAAAATGAGATTTAGGTAGGGCGTAAGTTTCGTTTCCAATGTGGCAATGCTTTTAACTACACTTTCGTAGCACACCTCCCCCCCCCCCTTTCCATCTTGCACTTAAATGTCCAAATGTCTTGCACATTATAGTCCAAATGCTATTCATCAGGAAATAAGGATTTGTTTTAAGTTTTTCATGTGTGCTAAAATTCAGTCTAAGTTTTTTTATATAAAAAAATCATTTAACCACATCAGACATGGATACGTATGCTATAATGTTATTGTTTCAGTTAAATAAATTGTTTAAATTGCTATTAAGGAAATAATTATTTTTCTCCTTCCAATAAATTACAGCAGAAAAGTTGTCCAAATATAAAGTTAACTTATTAAACCTCACAATAATGTCATAATTATCTGTCAATGTATTTCTAATAGTATAACCAAATCACTAATTTTTGATATAACTGTAAAAACTACTCTGAAAATTTATTATTCCAAAAATGAAACCTCCATCTGGTTGTAAATATTAAGATTATACCAGCAAGAATGAGTCTTTCTGTAAAAAATAAATAATGATTTAAATCAAGTCTTACTGACTAATGATTTAAATCATGATTTAAATCGATTTGATTTGATTTAAATCAAATCCACAGAACAAGATTACCAAAAGTCAGGTTAGGAGTGGTATGTATTTCCTTCTAGTCTATTCTTCTGACTTCTAATTCTAACAGCTAACTGCCTGTTTAAAATATATGAGCTTTATCCTCTTCCACTTTAATAACAAACAAAAAAACAACAACACCACACCAATCATCACACATTCCATGCTGGAGCAACTTTTTAAAAAAATAATCATGCAACAAGAATCAGTTTTATACTTTTATGTACTTTTTTCCAGGTGCTAAACGGCCTCGGCCCAGTATACCTGAAGGAGCGTCTCCACCCCCATCGTTCTGCCCGGACACTGAGATCCAGCGCCGAGGGCCTTCTGGCGGTTCCCTCATTGCGAGAAGCAAAGCTACAGGGAACCAGGCAGAGGGCCTTCTCGGTAGTGGCCCCCGCCCTGTGGAACGCCCTCCCATCAGATGTCAAAGCGATAAACAACTACCTGACATTCAGAAGATATCTTAAGGCAGCCCTGTTCAGGGAAGTTTTTAACGTGTGATATTTTACTGTATTTTTGGAAGCCGCCCAGAGTGGCTGAGGAGGCCCAGCCAGATGGGCGGGGTATAAATAATATATTATTATTATTATTATTATTATTATTATTAAACCCGCTGGTCCTGATCTGTTTCTTTAGTGCAGAATTTTAGACTGGTCTCTTTCATGTGTGTATGCAGTCAAGGTTAGTTACCATGAAATGGTTCCTACAGTCTTACCTTCAGTCAAAGATCTTTCCAATCCAGGGCCTTCAGGCTTTTGAACAAAGGTTTCACTTTCCTCGTCCAACAGATTCTCTTTTGCATCACGAGGGTCCTCCAAGGAGTGCTCCCTTTGCTGGCTCTGTGAACTCACTTTTTCCTGAAGGATGGTTTCGGGGGAACTGTTCTTCTCTTCCATTGGAGAATCTTGTAGGCCAACTTGGGTTGAACATTCAGCCCTTTCATCTGAGGAACCTACCACATCTTCGGGTGCAAAACTGTCTGATAAACTATCTGTGCCTGAGGAAGGCAATATATCACATCCTGGAGGACCACCTGTCTCTATTTTCAGGAGATTTCCGTCAGAATCTAAGTCCTCTGTTCTTCCCTCAGGTTGTTCCAAGGAGTGCAGGCTCTGCTGGTCCTCTGAGCTCATTTTTTGCTCTGGAGTAGTGTTGAGCAAATTGTTTTCCTCTTCTGTGAGAGAATATTGCCGGGTAACTTGGGCTACACACCCAGTCCTTTCACCTAATGGGTTTACCACATCTTTATCTTCAGAACTGCCAGATATGCTAAATGAACCTGGGGAAAGCCTTGCGTTGCATCCCAAAGGGCCACTGGGCTCCATTTTCAGCAGAACTCTGTCAGACTCCAAGGGCTTTTCCAACAAGGAATCCTCTATGGTTTCTTCCGTTTCATTTTGTAGAGTATTGGGTGAGATATCGTCCGTATTTGGGGGCTGAAGAGTCATCTTCCAGTGTGTTATCAGCTTCTCTTTTCCAGGGAAGCCTGTATGGGCCACAGAGAAAAATGACTGGCTGTTATGCAATTATCAGGTGATTTTCAGTTACAACTTGCCTCACAGTGTTGTTGTGAGGACAAAACAGGGCAGAAGAGAACCATATACACCACCTTGAGCTCCCTAAAGGAAAGGTGGGACATAAATGTGATAGATAATAAAAAATAAAATAAAACCAGAGTCCCTATGTATTCAAGAAGCTTTTACAGTTCCATGCAGAGGAGGTATCACACTGCACATCCAGTAGATTGCTACAAACCACAGCTTCAAACAGATTAATATTTATTGTTGTTTTATTTCTATTGTTTTGTTATTCTTTGTATGATATGTTGGGCAGCCTTTGGCTGAAAGGTGGACTGAAAATATCTTAAATAAACCCAACAAAATAGTAGCCAGTGGCAAAGCCAGCCCTATTGTTCACAATTTTATCCTGTCCTTTCCTCAAGGAACTTTATTCCGTTTCACTTTCTGACTTCCCAGGATTACTCATTTCCCAGAAATGAGGTTACAGGGAACCAGGCAGAGGACCTTCTCGGTAGTGGCACCCGCCCTGCGGAACGCCCTTCCATCAGATGTCAAGGAAATAAGCATAGTTTTGCCCCTGCCCTGGGTACCCTGTTGCCTGAGGTGATCGCCTCATCTGACCTTATGGATGGGCCAGCCCTGTCTACAGTGTATGTAGGTGGAAGAAATTTCCCTTGATAAAGAGTTCCTGTATTTTCCCAACAAAGTGCGCTTCATAGCGAGGCATTCCTGATCGAACCAGGGTTTAGATTTGTTGGAGTATAATGGTTGTCACGGGACGCGGGTGGCGCTGTGGGTTAAACCACAGAGCCTAGGACTTGCCAATCAGAAGGTCAGTGGTTCGAATCCCCGCGACGGGGTGAGCTCCCGTTGCTCGGTCCCAGCTCCTGCCAACCTAGCAGTTTGAAAGCACATCAAAGTGCAAGTAGATAAGTAGGTACTGCTCTGGCAGGAAGGTAAACAGTGTTTCCGTGCGCTGCTCTGGTTCGCCAGAATTGGCTTAGTCATGCTGGCCACATGACCCGGAAGCTGTACGCCGGCTCCCTCGGCCAGTAAAGCGAGATGAGCACTGCAACCCCAGAGTCGGCCACGACTGGACCTAATGGTCAGGGGTCCCTTTACCTTTAATAGTTGTCGCATTGCTTTTTTTGGAGTCAAACAGGGTTGAAGAAGTGAACTCAAATCCTGGAACAAGTTTATTCTAGTTTCAGGGAATGAGGAGTTTAAGAGGTTGTCTCTCCTAATGAGGAATGTGTCTGAGCGTATCCGCCCAGATAAAGAGAAATATTGTTATATAAGGCAAAGGAACATGAATTTTCCTTAAAGTGGGGAAACCAGCTTTCCCAGTTTCAACCCATGTCTATGTCCTATATCTTATGGTGGCCTCGAAAATATTGATTACTCTCCAGTCCATCCGAACACATTTCTAGCCAAGGCTAGGGGTGGAGGAACGGGAGCCGCCCAAATGCTGGACTCCAGCTCCCATCAGCTCCTACCAGCTTGGTCAGACATGATGGAAACTTTAGTCCGATAACATTGGAGGGGGGTCACAAGTTGCTCACCCGTTCAGGGCACTCACGTAACACCCACACCTGGGTGCTCACGCGGAGAGCCAACGTTAGCAGGCCTTTTTGCTCGCACTGCCAGTCCGTGGAGAGGGTTCCCACCCGTTCTTTGCCTGCTTCGCGTTTTGTTATTTTCAGACTTGTTTGGCTAACCAAACGCTGCAGAGGAACTCCAAGAGCCGCAACTGCAAGAGCCTCTCCCGGCCATGCATTGGAGAGATTCGGGGGGTGGTGAAGAAAAACGGGGCGCTCACCTCGCGCGCCCCTGTCTCCCTGAACCCAGCGAAAGGCGCGACCGAAACCCACCTTTCACGCGCTTTCCAAGCGTTGGCTAATTCTTCTCTCTTTTGCGCTCCTCCTCCTCCTCCTCCACTCTCTGACCAGGAAGTAAAGATGAAAACAGACTCTTTCCCTGTAGAAAGTGACTTCAGGCAGGCCTTCCCTTTGTGTGTGTGTGTGTGTGTGTGTTGCTTGCAAGAAGGGGTTTTGGTTTTTTTGCGCAGAGAGATTACGACCCCCAGAGCCTCCCCAAACTTCCTAGCAATTCCTACTGGAAGCCCAGCAGCGCAGCGCACTCACACGCCCAGGACTTTCCTACCAACGTCAACACCATTCATCCCTAATGGCACCAGGTTCCCCCACCCGAGGGATGCTGGGACATGTAGTTTTCTCAACCCTCCGTGTCCTATTTAGGAGAAAAAGAAACCAGATTGACGAGGAAGGAGCTGCAAGAGGACCCGGGCAATGTTCCTTCCAGCTTGGAAAAGTCCCTTTTGTTTGCGCTCTCCGAATCCTGCTGCGCTTTTGTGCTTTATCTCTTGAGAAAGAAGGAAGAGGAGGCCGTAAAACCCTGGCCGCTTTGGTTGGAAGGGCAAAGTACTCCTTTTAAACAAGAAGAGAAGAAACGAGGCTCCCTCTCTCCTGTTAAAAACTCGCGCGGTGCGCGGCGCAGCAAGTCTGGAAAACAACCCGAGCATAATAAACGGAGAGGGGAGAGACTGAATAAATTTATGAAGGTCCCCCCCCCACCAGCCGCGGTGGCAGGCAGTGTTTGATTGGGATGGCAAAAGAGAACGGCTGTCTTTTACTTTTCGTTATTACGTTGTTTACTGTTCCGAGGTTGCAAAAAAAGGGCTATAAATTTTTGAAATAAACAAAAGGACGCAATGCAATTCTAATTAAGCACCCAGTGGTTTCAATGGGAATTGTCTGGACACGGGCATAATCGTTCCAGTGAAACCTATGAACCTTTAATGAATGCATGGACAGTTCTGTGAGTGCTTACATATTATCTATACATGTACTTGCCTAAAAGAAAGCCATTAATCAGATAAACTTCACCAATACACTAATGGGTATGATCTTGCGGTGACTGACCGGGAAAGCGATCTTGGAACTGTGTTGGGTGGCTTAATTAAAGCATCACCCGAGTATGTGGCACTTGCGAAAAAGGCATATTCCCTGCCAGGGATCATTAGGCAAGGAATTAAAAACAGCCAGTGGTACCTTGGTTTACAACCATAATCCGTTCCGGAGGTCCGTTTGTAAACCAAAACAGGTTGTAACCCAAGGCACGCTTTCGCCAATGGGGCCTCCCAAAAAAAAAAATTGTTGGTAATCCCCCCAAAATGGGTTGTCATCCAAAAAAAGTTTGCAAACCAGGACACACACTTCTAGGTTTTACGTGTTTGTAATCCAAAACGTATGCAAACCAAGACGTATGCAAACCAAGGTACCACTGTATAGTGATGCATTTGTACAAATCTAATGCAACTGTCCGTATAGTTAAAGCCATGGTTTTCCCAGTAGTGATGTATGGAAGTGAGAGCTGGACCATAAAGAAGGCTGATCGCCGAAGAATTGATGCTTTTGAATTATGGTGCTGGAGAAGACTCTTGAGAGTCCCAGGGACTGCAAGAAGATCAAACGCATCCATTCTTAAGGAAATCAGCCCTGAGTGCTCACTGGAAGGACAGATCGTGAAGCTGAGGCTCCAGTACTTTGGCCACCTCATGAGAAGAGAAGACTCCCTGGAGAAGACACTGATGCTGGGAAAGATGGAGGGCACAAGGAGAAGGGGGCGACAGAGGACGAGATGGTTGGATAGTGTTTTCGAGGTTACCAGCATGAGTTTGACCAAACTACGGGAGGTAGTGGAGGACAGAGGTGCCTGGCGTGCTCTGGTCCATGGGGTCACGAAGAGTCGGACACGACTACACGACTAAACGACTAAACAACAACAACAACAATGCAACTGTGCTTTGCTTGAAATACAATGTTTCCATTGCTTCTTCTTAAAAAGGATATTGTGGCTGTGGAAAAGGGTATCCAAAATGGTGAGGGGGCTGGAACAATTCCCTTATCAGATGGGGACTGCTGGGCTAGAGAGACCTTTGGTTCTGATCCAGCATATTGTTATATGCCACCCCCAATCTCCATGGCAGTGCAAGACTCCAGGAGCTTTACCCAGGAAAATGGGACACAGCAGGGACTGTGGTGTCTTTATGATGTATGGTTTACTGACACAAATCTACAACTGAGCTTGCCCTGGAAGGGTTTAGAGCAGGGGTCTGCAACCCGCGGCTCCGGAGCCGCATGTGGCTCTTTTACACCTTTGCCGCGGCTCCGGGGCGGATACTAGCCAGGGGAGGAGGCGCATTGTGCGCCCCGACACTCCCCACTGTGGCGGGCGCTGTACTGGCTGTGATGTCGCATGGGGGCGGTGCGTGCGTTAGTCACGCACCGTCCTGACGTCACCTTCCCGCCTGCTGTCAGATCGCGGCTCCGGAGATATATTTGTTTTAAATGTCACAATGGTTTTGCGGCTCCCAGTTTTTTCCCCCTTCGGAAACGGGTCCAAGTGGCTCTTTTTGTCTTAAAGGTTGCAGACCCCTGGTTTAGAGCATCAGCATTGCAAGAGGGTCCTGCTTCCCCATAGGCCCAACAACATCCTTGCTCTGTTGTCCTGCTTTCCAAGTCAAATCGCAGCCTCCCCTCCCCACTATTCTAAACTTGAACCTCACCTAAAACACTGGCATTGTCTTTTTCAACTAAACTTCCACTTGAGGGAGGGAGGAAATCCACTCATTTGCAAATAAGATTTGTCCTTTCATCCTTTGTCTTGCTAACACCTCATTACCCCAGGCTCACACCTCACTGCAAGCAGGAGGCTAGTCTTGACTTAATTGGCTTTTGACACTTGCTTAATTAAAGGATTAGCAAAGTCTGGCACAAATATACACTGGAGACTAGCCTGTCTCAATATGCTTCTAACACCCCAAGACTTAACTAAATTCTAACACTAACTTGATCAGGAATTTAGATGTCTTGCTCCCAGAGATTCCTAACATTATGTAATAATAATAATAATAATAATAATAATAATAATAATAATAATAATAATAATAATTTATACGCTGGGTTTCCCTAGCCAACACAATATTAAAAACACAATAAAACATCAAACATTAAAAACTTCCCTAAACAGGGCTACCTTCAGATCTCTTATAAAAGTCAAATAGTTGCTTATTTCTTTTGACATCTGATGGGAGGGCGTTCCACAGGGCGGGTGCCACTACCGATAAGGCCCTCTGCCTGGTTCTTAACAGCAACTTATCACCTTTCCTTCTGTCTGAAAGTTATCTTATGGACTTAGGACTTCTTGCTCAGCTGTGCTCCCTAGATTTAAACAGGAAAAATGATATCAGGATTTCACTTTCAGCAGTTTTGATACTTTTGAGTACTTTATCTGTCTTTAAAAACACTATGGTTTTATGCACTATTACAACCTGCTGACAATGAACTCATGACAACATACTGGGTGTTCCTCCCTATTTCACCTTAGCAATAGTCCCCTGTAATAGGCTAATGTTAGTAGGTGTTACAAGGCCACCTAGTAATAAGCTTTTTTTTGCTAAGTGGGGACTTGAGATCGGGTTTCTCCATTCCAAGTCCAGCACAACAGCCACTATACCTCACTGGCTGCTAACATGTAAGTAATTTACTTGCTTTCAAATTTTATTAAACATTTTAACATTTTTATTAAACATTTTGACTTGGCACGCTGCTTTGTGGGCTTTTGACCCCAAAAAATAACACATCAACAGAGTTTACAGCGTTTGTTTGTACAACCTGGGCTCCTTTGGGAGGAGGGCCTGGATATAACTTTGGACAAGAAGAATAAACAGGGCTTTTTTTTCAGCCGAATTCGCCCAAACTCAGTTCCGTCACCTCTCAGGTGGGCACTGTGATGGGAAAGTTTGTTTTTGCTGGGCAGGTTGGGTCAACAAGCGCTTTCTTTTTCTTTTTCCCTGCCGGCAAACGGTTAACGAACGGCAGCTTCTGATTGGCCAAGGTTCCAGAAGGGAGGTTTGAAAAGGAGAGGATTTGGAGAGACAGTTCTTTAGGTTGGGAGTCAGGATGGGAGAGGAGAGACAGTTGGTTCTGGGTAGAAAATATATCACAAGCTAGAGAAAGGAGTCTCTGAGCTTAGCGTGAAGGACAGTGTATGGCGTCCTGTGAGAGTAATAGGCCAGGAATTAACTGGGAGGCTGAGGCTGAGCCAGGAGAAGTAGAAGCTGTGGGGATACAGTCTACTTAGGTCTCCTTCCAGTCAGGAGGGGAGAGATTCTGCTCCAAAAAGAGAATAATAATAATAATAATAATAATAATAATAATAATAATAATAATTTATTATTTATACCCCGCCCATCTGGCTGGGTTTCCCCAGCCACTCTGGGCAGCTTCCAACAAAACACTAAAGTACAATAAGAAGACTCCCAAACCAGTGAAGAGGGGTGTGGAGACCCCTTGGGTCTGTTACTTGGAGGACCTCAGGAGCAGGGTTGTCCAAGGGGTGTGTAACGGACAGAAAATACCACCTTGCTTAAGAACCAAAGTATTAAGCGGCAAGCAACAACCGAGACAGAACTGAAGTGAAATTAACATTATAATCCGAAGTACCCTATGTTTTACCCACTTGTGCCATAAACTTCCTTTGTTTAATAAAATATTTACTGTTTATTTGATCAAATCCTGCCTGTGACTCCAAATTATTAAATTTTCCCTCACACAAGTTAATCTGGGGTAGTTTGTAGGAATTTGTGGAATTGGTGTTTTGTTAGGGGGGTGAACTATATTTAAGCGAGGGCAGGCCCAACGGCGCCAGGGGGAAAGTGATGTTAATGGTGAATTCTGTCACCTATTTTTCTAGGAAAATAGCACTGATAATAATAATGATGATGGTCTTTTAAAAACTTCTATTTCTGATTTTAAATTTTATACATTTCCATAATTTTACAACCATTTTAACATTTGGAAACTCGACTTTCTTCCCCCTTTCTGCGGTTCCTTAAATTTATTTTTTATATTTTACGCATATTCCAAATTTACTTTATTCGTCTACTTTAAATGTGTATAAAACCGCAGGATATGTCCCTCTCAGATGACTAACTAGGGCTGAGCTTTGCTCTTTGGCAGGTGCTTGTGAGCTGAAGCATCATCAGCAAAACTGCTGCCGGCTAGAATTTGAAGAACTTAATTCCGAAAGGGGCTTAAGTCCATTTTGACAAACAAAAAATTTCCAATTTTGGCCTGTAGATGTTGCCTTGAGTCCTACCCATAAAGGAGGGTGGGGGAAGGAAGAGAATCATGTATAAATGTTGTGCCCAAGTCACTGTGTCTTGAAAAGTCGCGTTTGCGTTGAAAAGAATATGTAAAAAAATGTTTTAAAGAAATAAGGGTGAAAAAATTGAATAATATTATGTCAAATTTAAATTAAATGACACAAAGGGATTAAGCTATAAAGAATAGGTAAAAATGGATGTAAAAGGAAAGGAAAAATTGGAGACATAATAGGATGAAAAGTATAATATAGAATAAGATTTGAAAGAAGGTAAAGTATTGCTGAACATGAGTGTGTAAAAGGGAACACAGAAAAGGGAGGGGTAAGGAAGTCAGAAAAGAAGGTCATAAAAACAATAAGTTAAAAATTGGATTT